AAGCAAATATACAAATAATAGTAAGTAATTAGTATCAAACATAATATGAATAACAAAGACAGTAACCAAACTGTGGAGTATTGAATGAAATATCACCAAATAAACATTGTAAAGGATGAAATTAAGGTGGAAGAAGCACTGAAAGTTGTTCCTAACACGTAAACGAAGCCACATAAACAAATTTCACTCAAATCGGACTTAAAAAACGCAAGATAGAAGTAAAATAGTCTGGATGAAAAATTGATGTGCGCGCTGGGCACTGAAGAAGAACATTGAGCGCTGACGGAACTATGAAAATTTCTTTTTCTATCTAACATTCATTCCTAAATTGATCAAACCTAAGGCTCTAGATACCACGTGATATGGAACAACATGCCTAGATAGAAAAGAACCTAAGAACTAAATAAGAACAATTAAGAAATATAATTAACAAATTGAAAATGTAATAGAGAAAGAGAGAAAACTTATGAATTGGAAGACATGCCACTTGAAAGGATCCAAGATAAATGTCAAGGAGGATTTCCACTTGTTCTTCACAAGATAAGACTCAAGTTCAGACCAAGAGACAAAATTCTATCTCAAAGAAGTAATGCAATTGAATGCAAAACACTATTCATATTCAAATTTAAAGGTGTACTTACAAAAGAGACCTTAGGTTGCTTATATAGCACTAGGAGATGAAGTAGGTGAAGAAAACTAAAGGATATAGGACTTAGAGGCCTAAAGAAGTAATGCGATTGAATGCAAAAGACTCTTCAAATTCAAATTTGAAGGTGTACTTACAAAAGAGACCTTAGGTTTCTTATATAGCACTAAGAGATGAAGTAGGCGGAGAAAACTAAAGGATGTGGAACTTGGAGGTCTACAAGTCTAGACAACAACTCTCAAGATTGTTTTAAGTCCCACATCTCTTCATTTTACAACCTCCTAGGAGTATATAAGCTACCTAACTAGTTTAAAGATCAAAATTAAAACTATATATGAGATAACTTGTATTACAAGCAACTAAAAGGATAAGAGAATTATTTATTCTCTTTTTTCTTTTAAGTCCAAATTATGTGAAGTCTCACATTATTTGCACCTTAAAGAAAAGAAAAATATATAAGCTTATTTACAACCAAACTAAGAGAAAGAAACTAGAAAGACAAAATACATCAACATAAAAATTTGACTAAATTATATATATATATATATATATATNATATATATATATATATATATATATAATTTGGTAGGTAAAGAACAAGTGTATGTAAGATCTGTAGAAATCCATACAATGGTGATTAATGTGAGAAGAAGGCATCATAGCCCTAACGGGTGTTAAGAAGAGGGAAACCCTACTTATCACATTCTTACTCAGTATCTTAAACGAGAGTAAGAACAAGTGTGGGCTCGAGGCCCACATTGCATGCTTGTCTCCTCTAGTAAACCAATAAAGCACATAGGCCAGTGGGCTCAAGGCCCACATTGCATGCTTGTCTCCTCTAGTAAACCAACAAAGCACATAGGCCAGGGCAGGAACACACCCACAACAATGTACATCTAGAAAAGCCCACTTCCGTGGAACATGGCCCCAACCCATGTTCGTGTGAAGGACACGCAAAACGAGCGAGTAACATTAAGTAAATGGAGATCAACCTTGAATAGGCTAAGTCTAGAAGAGGGACAAGACCACTCGCTGAGAAAACCAACACGAATGTCACTAGCTAAAGCTCTATCAAACGCAATGAACCAAGCTCATTCTTCCTTGTTCTTGAGGACTAGACAGTGTTAATGAAATGACATTGCATTTGCTTCACTTGAGGTTCCTTTTTCTAGACACAAAAACAAATAAGAATGTGGACATTGACAACGATACAAACTGAAGCATAATGTGTTATAAGTTATTATCCTAAACATGATTTAGAGTTCTGATACGTGTACATGATAACTGAACCACAAAAATATAACAAAAACGATGACATGAAAAAGGTTGAATATTCATAATTTATTACAATTAATGATATAATGACATGTTATGAGATTGAAATGCAAGATAAAAGATTATCATATACAATGAACAAGAATGTTATGCTAAATCTATAATGTACAATGTGTCAACTTACATGGGACACACTTATTTTCTCCAACATGTACGCACTTACTAGATTTATATTAACTTAATTTGTGTATATATACACAATTTCATTTATTTGTACAGGAAACTACATTATACATTTTATAAATTTCTATTTTATTTTAGTATTTATTTTTGCTATAAATGATGAAAACTAAAATAATAGATTTTTTTTAAATGATTAAGAAGCATAATTATACGGTGTATGAAAAATCACAGTTATACCCTCAATTAAACCCAATTAAAATATAATTAATTTTTAATAAAACAAAAAATATCTTTGACCACTTTTAACATCTTTCTTCAAAACTTTTTCTTTTTGGAATCTTCATCTCTTCTTCTATATATATATATATATATATATATATATATATATATATATATATATAATTTGGTAGGTAAAGAACAAGTGTATGTAAGATCTGTAGAAATCCATACAATGGTGATTAATGTGAGAAGAAGGCATCATAGCCCTAACGGGTGTTAAGAAGAGGGAAACCCTACTTATCACATTCTTACTCAGTATCTTAAACGAGAGTAAGAACAAGTGTGGGCTCGAGGCCCACATTGCATGCTTGTCTCCTCTAGTAAACCAATAAAGCACATAGGCCAGTGGGCTCAAGGCCCACATTGCATGCTTGTCTCCTCTAGTAAACCAACAAAGCACATAGGCCAGGGCAGGAACACACCCACAACAATGTACATCTAGAAAAGCCCACTTCCGTGGAACATGGCCCCAACCCATGTTCGTGTGAAGGACACGCAAAACGAGCGAGTAACATTAAGTAAATGGAGATCAACCTTGAATAGGCTAAGTCTAGAAGAGGGACAAGACCACTCGCTGAGAAAACCAACACGAATGTCACTAGCTAAAGCTCTATCAAACGCAATGAACCAAGCTCATTCTTCCTTGTTCTTGAGGACTAGACAGTGTTAATGAAATGACATTGCATTTGCTTCACTTGAGGTTCCTTTTTCTAGACACAAAAACAAATAAGAATGTGGACATTGACAACGATACAAACTGAAGCATAATGTGTTATAAGTTATTATCCTAAACATGATTTAGAGTTCTGATACGTGTACATGATAACTGAACCACAAAAATATAACAAAAACGATGACATGAAAAAGGTTGAATATTCATAATTTATTACAATTAATGATATAATGACATGTTATGAGATTGAAATGCAAGATAAAAGATTATCATATACAATGAACAAGAATGTTATGCTAAATCTATAATGTACAATGTGTCAACTTACATGGGACACACTTATTTTCTCCAACATGTACGCACTTACTAGATTTATATTAACTTAATTTGTGTATATATACACAATTTCATTTATTTGTACAGGAAACTACATTATACATTTTATAAATTTCTATTTTATTTTAGTATTTATTTTTGCTATAAATGATGAAAACTAAAATAATAGATTTTTTTAAATGATTAATAAGTCATAATTATCCGGTGTATGATATATAATTCCGTTTTTTCACATAAATATATACAGTAAGATAATGCTTTTTTACGTGAAAATAATAAATAATTATATTATAAATAAACAACATTTGATTAAGTACACGAAATCGTATAATTTTAATAAAAAAATATTTTACCAATCTCGTTATATTGACACAAGCTATTTCAAAATAATAATAATAATGATAATATAAATAAAATATAAAAAAAAGTTGTCGAGTAATAACTCATTATAAAAAGTATTAATATATTACATCTATTTTAAATATATTCACTAGTAACTCATTATTCTCGCTTAAAAATTGAGCTGCCTACGTTGTTAATTAAGAACCAAAACAAGTAGCATATTATACTATAAACATCCTTGTGTAAATTGTACTAAGTAAATGCCACTGATTATTTCATATATACTTTATCTGCGTAAGAAAATTTTAAAATGAAAATAAACTTAAAATAAATAAAGCATAATCATAATACTAAAATAAATAAAAAATTAAATGACATACTTTTCTTCACTCTTTCTTTTGAACGCAATTTCGCGTATACTTATACTGACTAAACAAAATCGTTTATCTAATTCACATAACAGTTTCTTGTTGTAATTTTGTTAAATTTTCCTACTTTTTTTAAAAAAAATCCTAACTTTACTTATGGTCTAAATAATATAAATCAAAATATCAACCAAGTATAATAAAGAGCAAAAAACAAAGTTCTTACATGAGACTTTATAAAATATGACATAGATCATCTACATAAGACAACTGAGATGAAAATATTGTTTTTAATAAGTAATACATTTATTCCCAACAAACCTTATCCACAATAAGTTTTTCATTGGATGTTAAAAGTAACATGTTATGTTACCCTAATGTCAAGTGAGATGCAAATAAATATTCATATAATCCAAAATTGTAAACCATAATTAATTTATAATCTTGAATTGTAAATTAAGAATATTTTGTTATGTTCTCTCAAAATTAAGAATGTTCATTATTATAAATGATTCTCTAATAAAAAAATGTACAGTAATGATTAATATATCTATAAATAGTTATACATACGCAAATTATGACTTGAAAAAATTAATTCACACTTATTTGTGTTATGAATCTATTGTGATTGTATTTCATAACAAAGCCACTTTTATGTAAACATAGAAAGATTAAATAAAACAAGGAATAGTTTATTTCTAGTTTTCTATCATTTATTTGTTATGTATTTTAGAAACATGTAATTTTCTAGGATGTAAAAATATATGTATATCAAATGAAGTGGTACTGTATTATATTTAACTTCAATCTAAGTATTATTTAAAATACATAATATATTATAATAAATAACATATTTCTTCTAAAGTAAACAACATTCATTTTTACATATTTCTTTATTATTACAACAAATTCCTAAAGAGTTACCAATCCCAATCAAACTTGGAAGAAAATACATCTTGTATCAATTGATTCTGTATGAATCTATGAATGGCACAAGAAAAAATTTCTATCCTGCCTCAAGTGTGTTTCTCTTTTTTCTTTTTTTCTTTGTATAATTTATAAATTAAGTTTGGGAAATGGTTTAGTCATCCGTATTTGTAGTGGTAACCGTGTTGAGGGAGATGTGAAGAGGATTCCCACCTTCTTCTTCAAACAAAACCAAAACATTTTCAGTATCTTTGAGGAACGATCCCGGCACATGGTACCTGTTGCCATCACCTTTTCATTTACTTTTGTTTTCTTATATAATTCTTAAGTGCCACAAAAAACTTATCAACATATATAAAATATTTTTATTAAACCTCATCACCAGAAGAAAACGATAATTATAGTGATATGAAACTTAACTCATTAAATGATATTATTAAAGTGTTATAGGATTAGATAGTCATATTGAAATATTAATAAAAGAAACAACCTAACAAGCTAAATATATAAATAATATTATTTGCTTGTTTTAAAATAAGTAAAAAACTACTGAATATTTTAATAAAAATAATAACTAAAATATTTTATAGAATAAATGAATACTTTATAAAAAAAACCTTATTTTCATCCAATAATGAAATTTAAATAAAAAAGAAGTTGAACAGAGAAAAAACAAATGGGGCACGATTAATTAACTTACAGTATTTGTGAAGGCTGGTCTTTAGAATGGTGAAAGGAGATCCAGTATCGACCAATGCTTTGTCCATTCACCCAAACTTCCCCTTTTCCCATTGATTCAAGATTCAAGGCAACACCCTCATCACCCTTAGCTCTATCAAATGATGTCTACAATATGATCATTATCATCATTAGCTTCTACATATACAATTCCCTTTTTATGTAGAACTTGAATGGATATATTTCTTTTTTATTAATTAAAGAGTTTACGCAAGTTAATTAGTTTCCAGGTAAAGAAAATGGTGTCATCACTCACACGGATTACAAAAGCTTATCTGCAATAATTACCTTGTACCAAATGAGATTTTGATTGGAAGTATTCCCTAATGGACCCCATTGAACAGCGTTACTACTTGGTTCATATATTTGTAATTTCTCTCCCAGTAACCCAACCTTTAACATACAACACACAAATCCAACTTAACACATGAACATGTCTTCATGTTCTTTAGAGCAAAAAGGCCTGTTGTTCCAAGAGAAAATCACATAATATGAAAACTCAAGTGGAAAAATGAAGATAAAACCTGATATCCCCATGTAGAATTGGTCAGATCGAAGGACCCCTCACTGCACTGAATTTCCACTGTTGTTAAGCCAGCAAATCTTCGTTCAAGAAATGCTCCTGAATCCTTTTTGATTAACCGGTGTCATACAATTATAAGAAAATAAAATATTCCTTGCTATTAAAAATAATTAAGGTTTTAACTTTAAGGAAAAAGATGATTAAAAATAATAATCCCTTTCTGTAATACAGACATTGAAACATTACCGGGAATCCAACCATAACGCTTAGTATGGATATATTGTTTGTCCCTTTATTCAGTGTTAGGGGGACCTCTGTGGTGAATGATTTCACATCGTGATTTCCATGTGCCCCTCCTAGCACATGTCATCAACATATATGAGATCGCATACATCATAACTGCAAATCTTTCGGATTTTTAGTTAATATGCATATTTGGATGATATCATCATTTACTTTTCATTGTTTATATTTAATAAGCACTTAAAAAAATTTATCATTAAACAACCCAGACTCTGTTCACTCTTTTACCCTTAAAATCTGTTTTCTTTATTACTCTTGTTCTCTGGTATTAGAAAAAAGCTTCAGAGGGTTGACCTTTAAATAATACCTTTTGAGATATATATGATTTAATACTTACCTAGGTATGTGTTGTCTGCAAAAGCATGAGTAACATGAGCTGCAGACTGAATATTGAGTATTGGTTCACTACAAGAGAAATTATTTTCAAACCTGTTCACAAAATCAATTAGTTTCATCATTAGTTCGAACCAACTACCGAGTTTACGAATTAGATCATCAATTATGTGTTCAATATATCATAAGGAATGTGCAATAAATATATTTCAACCCTCTCGTGAGAAACCAAAAAAGGGGATCTATAACTTACCTTAGAGTATACCATAGATAATCTGATTTGTGTTTGGTTACATTCATTTGCTCAAGTAATGTGTTTGATATTAACGAAATCTGGTCAAAATTAGGGATGACATCCTGAAATTGCTCCCATTTTTCCGCTGAGCTGAAAGTTTGAATTGGACTTATGACTCTTCTGTTGCTCTTTGTATTTACCTAAACATGATATAAATAAAACAATAAAACAAAACAGACAAATTAATCACTAGATTAGTCGTCAAGCATAGACATTTTTAAAGGTGGAAGGTGTCAACTTACAGTTGCGGTATTGAAAGTTACATTTTGACAATCTGGTAATATACTGATTGACTTTGGAGGCAACTTGTATGATCTGTTGCGAAATTGGACATCAAACATATTCACATCATCATTGTTTACAAGGAAAGCAACACACTTCCCTTCTTCTTCAAAAACATAACCCTGATTGAATTCAAAACAAATACCAATAAAGGGTTGGAATCCAATTAGTGAAAACAAACCTAATACGTGGTAAAGAGGGAATGAATAAACTAACCTCCTGCCGTTGTCCTAAAGAGAAAATGCTCTGCTTTCCTTCCAATAAAGTGGTAGAACAGGACTTGATTGCTGCATGTAACTCCCTGAGATGTCCCCACTTGGGTTGTCTTAACAAACCTAATGCAATATATACATACTTACCATATTCATCAAGTTTGGGGAATTATTAACTTTCTATACTTACCATATTCATCAAGTGGAGCTTGATCATAATAGGATGTTATGACATAAGCAGAGGTTGTTCTCCCCAAGTTAGTTCCGCCATGGTACTACGTAAAACACGGTAACTTTGAAGTTATTTTAGAAGATTGATAAACTGGGTGAAAATTTTAGCTTTATCTTAATTGGAGCTAGCTTTCCAACATTTTATGGACATAGAGAGGAGAAGGATACTATTAAATCATGAGTTGAATATGTTAATATGGATACCATATAGTAATTGACATAGCTTCCATTTTTTCTTGCAATAAAAAGTGTGACATGGAATGCAATGTCTTTCGCAGACCTTATGTACGCCTCACCACCATAAACTTGATAGCTTCAAAAGAGAAGAATCAAGAAAAAACAAAGACAAAAAGAAGATTAACTGAGCTGATGAATTTAAGATAAATGAAAACTGATGATGAATTTAATGATTAATGATATGATATCAGCAATGAGATTTCTGTTCTGTTATTTAACTCGGAATAGCTCATGTGTGTATAGAATCAAGGAAGCATACAAAGAAGTCCAATTCTCTGTCCACAATGCAGGCTTATTGGGGGAGTTCGGTCCTGTAAAAGTTTCTCCACATTTCATTCCGTTGCATGTGTTAATCTGCGCATTAATGCAGAACTAAAAAATAAAACCACAAAAAAAAATGAAGCTCCCAACAAATTATTGAAAAATCTTTTGAAGTGTTTCACTTTCTATTTTTTTTTTAAATAAAATCTCTAAATTTTTTTTTCATCTTTCAAATTTCAATTCAAATAAGGCTGCAAATATCATCATAAAAATACAAATCAGTTGTTGTATAAATGAACTAAATTACATATTCATGATAATATATAAGGATTATATTGTAATTTAATATAAAATAAACCTGTACAAAATGAAAAAGGGATGCAAAATGCATTTATTTTTGAAGAGTTTAGTTAATTCATTTAAAATCAGAAGAGAAATTCATATTTTTTTTTACCTTGACACTAATATTTCTTATTTTTTAAAATATAAAAATTCACTTTTTATATCCATTTTATATTCTTGTGTGTCAAATGAATATTTACACAAATGAATGTAAATATGTGAAACTTTACTATTATTCATGAATATTTAATGAAAATATAATAATGACTTTAAGATTCATTAGTTTTTATTAAATAAGAAAAAGGAATTTCTAATTGAAAAGACATTAAAATAGAATAATATTTTCCAAAAGTAATTTTAATAATTCTCTTAAATTAAAAAAAAAAGTGAAAATCTTGTGAAGTGAAAAGTAGGGCTGAATGGGACTAACCACTGGATCAGGAGCGTCAGTTTGCTTGCACATAACCCAGGGCACGCCAGTCTTCAGGCCCAGTGCCATTTTTGCAGCCCACTCAACATACTGTGATCCATCTTCTCCAAATGCTTTTTCCACGTTTTGATATTCATTCTCGATCTTTATTTTGTTTTTCATGTTCATGATTTAATGGAAAAGAGTAAGGTCAGGTTTCCGTACACTACATTATTTATTTATTGGTCGAATAAAGCATTTAGAGGAATGATACCTGCGACAGTATAATTGGGCCTCCTTGAGAAGCATATAAACCCTCTGATTGCATCATGCTTACTATTTTTGTCGTGAAATTTTGCATGTACATCTGGACAATGAAAATACTTGAAATATAGTACACGAACAATACTTATTATAAAAATGTAAAACATTAACGTTATATTATACTTACCTTGAATGGTTCATTGTCAGTTCGGTATACAATGCCGGGAATATCATGTAACCAGAACGGAAATCCCCTGAAAGAAAATCACTATTAACATTCAAACATTAAAAGGCTCAGCTTTTCTTAACCATTCAAAGATGAAAGATAGAACGAAAAGTACCCATAAGTCCATTCACTTTCAATGTAAGGCCCAATCCTGAGGCACACATACAGCCCTTGAGCTTGGATTTCCTTTATGAATCTCACCAAGTCATATCTACCACTGAAATCATACTGCCGTATGTACTACTCCGTAAATACTTTACTCAAATACCATACTCTACGTACATGTAGTGAAAACTTGAACGTAGTCATTTAGATAGAGAGAGAATTCAGAGAAATTATATGTATAAGGACCGATGTGAAAAAGAGAAAGAAACCTGTCCGATTTGGGGCTCGTGTAGATTCCAAAACACATAAGTCTGAATCACTTCGAGTCCTCCTTCTTTCGCTTTTGCTATCAACGCTGGCCACATCTGCAAAAAAGGTTGTCAGAATTCTTCTTTGTCTTTCTCTCTTATTCTTTTCTGGCAACTAGTGCGCAACAACTTATCCATCGAACATGTTTTTCTGTTAATTGATTCGAACCATAAAACATTCCAACCTAGTTTCTATTGTGTTTGCTACACCTTAGCTTACTATTTATTAACAATCCATTAGACTGCCATGTCAGGCTCCATAATCGGTACTTGATAAACCCAGTAAACCATCCAAAGATACCTTTTCTCTGATTTAAAAATCAAAACTATTTTTGACAATATTTTTTTATAATATTTTAACACCATGTAATCAGGTTTATATTAATGTTTATAATTATTATTATTAATTATAGAATAATTTTAAACAAATCACGTATAAATAATATTAAAATATTATTAAAAAAATATTAAAATATTATTAAAAAAATATTATCAAATATCATTATTCTTAAAAAAAAAACATTACTTTCTAATTAGAATAAAAGGTCAAAATTGTAACACTGGAGAGTATTATAGAAGATAGCGGGAAAGGAATAAGAATAAAATGTCATAAATAAGTATCCAAAATAGTATTTTACTGTTTTCTTTATCAAAAAAATACCTTATTGTAATATGAATTAACAAATGTTTCACATTTAGTTTAATTGGTATTGGATTCGGTTTTCTTAAATAAAGTCTTAAAAAGGAATAATCTTATTTTAGTTATTTAAACTAGTTTTTTTTTTGTCAAATGTGATTTATACTACTACATTATTAATTTATTTTTTTCAGTTACTTAAAAAAAATAATGTTGTGTTTGAATATGCAAGTCCACTATTTCCACATTAGTAAACAGACGGATATGTAATTAATTGATGTGTTTGTTTCTATTTATTTGTGCTAATTTGTAAAAACAGATGTGTAAGAGAGTATATTGTTTCTAAGAAAGATCATAGTACATTTTATTTCAAATTACACTGTAATTACTATATACGTGAAAGTACAAAGTTGTGAAAACAGTGGAGATTCATGGTGCAAACAACTTGTGTGAGAGTCTCATGGTCTTGGAGCAAAAAGAGAAGGAGTTATGTTGACTTCTCATGGTGCAACTCATAGAGGGGAAGGTGTAGTGTTCCCTGTCCACACACAAGGTTCTTCAGATGAGAACCTTCTAAAGTTCATTCTTCCCCATATACAAGTATGATTTTGATTTAATATCTACAAAAGATTTCAAAATTTGGAAAATGGAATTGATAGATTGTATTAAGTAATTTTTCATTATTTTAAGTTTAATTTATTAGATATGTATTAATAAATCGTATTTTATGTTAAAACTTATTTCAATTTACTAATGTGAATAATTTTATTTGTAATATCAAATTTAATACATTTTTTTATTAACAATAATTTAGATAATAATATACAAATTATACAAATATACATTTTAATATAATTTCCATTATTTAAATTTATATTTATATTAAATGTTTACATAAAATACAAATTATAATTATCTGTTCTATCAATTAAAACATTTTTTAATGTAATCTTTCCATCCACTCACGCTTCCTTACATTCAGTCCCGGTCCAATCACTCTAAACTTCTCTATATCTTTTTTTACCTTGAATCCAATACCTTTAGCTTAATTCATGATTATGTTCCTAATACAGTAGAAGTATCAACGTAAATCAAGAGCCAAACAAAGCACATCATAATTAAAGCCAGTTGTTTAAGGCCGTCTTATCAGAAATCAACCCTCCATTAATTAAATATGGAGTCTTTCGCTTTAAAGCCTGAACTGTATTGGACACATAAAACCAGAAAAAGTCTGAATTCTGAAATGTACCCAAGACTGACACTGAAGTATCTTATAAGAAAAGCAATATAAAACAATAAAACCTATTTATGTTCAACCAACAACACCATGTGCTTTTCATGACATTGTGTTAAGCAATTCATTCTAATTAACATATTTTGCTGATAAATGTGGCTCTTAGACAAGAATCAAAAACACCCTCTTGAAGTTTCTATGGTGAAGTTCAAATCTCACTACTATTCGACTATCATTCTTCTAATAAAAAGTTTAATTTCAGCTCACAAGACAAGCTACATGAAACTCAGTAGTAGAAGAAGATGAATGAATTGCATGAGAGTGAGACTGAGACTGAATGAAATACAGCGTTTGTTTCATTGGAAGAAATGGCAATGAAAGGCATTGTAGAATTACCTGAGGAGTGCTGCGAGGATAGTGAATGGAACCTGAAAAGAGTATTCTCCTGTGGCCATCAATGATAAGGGATCTTCCATCATATGTGACCTCTGTTTCAAAACCACTATCTCCCATTGTTAATGTCAACGACCCCAGCAGCAGCAGCAGCAGAATCACCACCAAAGCCACTAAATTTTCCATCTCCAATAACTGTTTTATCAGAGACTTGATTCTGCAGTTCTCTTTCTCTGAACCCTGTCAGATATTGCATATATAGTAATGTTGTTTACATGCAACAAATTATGTTACAACTTCAAAACCTTTTATGGGTGACATTGCCACCAAGAAAGTATGACTTTATAGAAATTAATGGGAGACAACCAAATACTGTACTAACCTTATCAACGTGGCCAAAATATGGCAATAATGAAATGACAGGGACAGCTGCAACAACTCCTCTTCTATGCAGCTGTTGATGTAACAACTCCCTTTCTTGCCAATACTCTGATTCAATAATGCAAGTATTCGTATAAGGTTGTCTGTTATTGTACAAATTATATGTTGGCTTACATTCAACCACTTTCTTTCAATTTAAAATAAATGTTTTTTAAATTACTTTTTTTAATATCAAAGTTGAAAAAATACTTGTTTAAAATAAGTATATTAGACAAATACATAAAAAAAGTAAAAATTATTTTAAGTTATTAAATAGTACTTGTTTAGAAAAAGAAAACAAAGAAACGAACTCATAATATTAAAGTATAAGTATAAATACACCTTGCGCATCTCTCATAAAAGTTCTTAGCAAGGTTCTAAAACTCAATTCTCGTATAAAACTCCTTTTGGTACTGTGGTATTTTAAAATTAAGATATGCATTTTAAGAATTTTTAAAAAATTATTTAATTCTTATAATTATAGCTCCTATGCCTTTAGGTCAGAAATATCTATTAACTTTATATGTATAATTAACATTTTCTAACTATTCTTTTTTCGGCCTTATAGTTTAAGTATATTTAGTTACGTCGAAAAATGAAAAGAATGATCGCTAATATTCTCAAAGTTAGGAAGAATATTTCAAATTAAGATTATTTTATAGATTTTTAAATACATAATTTAATTCAGTAATATACTCATTAATATAAATAATATATATAATTTTTATTATAAAATTTTACTTTATTATAAAATTGTAATTTGGTTTTTTTCTCTTTCTATATACAAGACATATTAATATGACGTGACAATCATGATATACAATACTGGGACGTTGTTCTCTCCACTACCGCCCTTTACCTCCTTCACCTCCTCAAAATTTAATTTATTTTTAAAACTATCCTTCTGTTAAAATTTTTTTACCTTTTTATTATTTTTTTGTTGTTTATTGATGTGGGTTAAATGGATACCTTATTTAGGTTTGTAAGTTTTCACCAGCAACAACATCATCAACCACAACTCGATCCATCCCTCAACTCCATCACCAACAGAACTTTTAGCAGTTCCAAATCATCTAGACAAAACTACTACCATTACTCCCACCAAGAAGACCAAGAATGCTTCAACTTTTACATGGATGGCGAAGACTTGTCCTTGTCTTCTTCCAAACACTACTACCCATACCACAACGTATCCACCACCACCACCACAACCAACACCTTCAGCACCACTGTTCAGTCGCGTCACTGATGCGAGAGACCGAACCTACCGAACCTTGGCCTCCATATCGGAGAAAACATGCTCCTTCGAGTCAACGAGGAAGACGGTGTTGAAATTCCAAGAAGTCGGCCCCTGGACAACTTTCGGACACGCGGCGTCCAACGACGCCATCTTAGAAGCATTAGAAGGAAACCCCAAATTGCACATACTTGACATCAGCAACACCTATTGCACTCAATGGCCAACACTTCCGGAGGCACTGGCAACTCGAACCGACGAAACTCCGCACCTCAAGTTAACCACCGTCGTCACCGAGAGAACCGATAACTCCGTGCAGCGCGTAATGAAGGAAATCGGAACAAGAATGGAGAAGTTTGCGCGACTCATGGGCGTTCCGTTCAAGTTCAACGTCGTTCATCACGTCGGCGATCTCTCTGACCTTAATTTCTCTCAACTCAACCTCAAAGACGACGAGGCCCTGGCCATCACTGCGTGAACGCGCTGCATTCGGTTTCCCCGACAGGGAACGGCCACGACGCATTTATATTGTCGCTGCAAGGTTGCAACCGAGGATCGTGACAGTGGTGGAAGAGAGGCGGATTTGAACGTAGGAATCGAGGACGTGGAAATCCGTTTTACCTTAAACTAAATGAATGTTGACATCCGTGCGGATGCTCACGTCCGTTTAAAACGCAACTGGACGAAGCTGTTTACTACATCTTCACCCCTTTCACCACTGTACTTTCAAGCACCACCACACCATCAAGATTGACCGCAGGCACCGTTGGATCAATTTCTTCTACCACTACTAACCTTTGCAACCTTCCACTAAGCACGTCACCTAATGAAATTTCATCACACTCTCACAGCACAACGAAAATGAGAGGAAGAAATCGAACTTTAAAGAAGAAGAAGAGTTGTGTGCTTTCCGCTGCATGGATTCATGTAGGAGACCAATAATAGGTCATTACTGGAGTAGAGTGGGTAGAAGTTAAAAAATATTGATAAAAGTTTAAAAATATTAACCCTAAAAATAAAACTTTATTAAAAGGACAAAATTGAAACGGGAGTAGAGGAAGCAAATAATAGTGGTGTAGGAAGCAACGCTCACAATACTGTCACATGACATAACATAATAATGCCTTGAGACATCAAAAATTTAAGAAAAGAACGAAAAAATAAAAAAATAAAAAATACTATGAATTAACATTTGATATGTGTGGACAGCAATTTAAAAGAAATAACATAATTAAATTATATTTAGAAACTAGAAGACTTGCATCAAATAAAAATTACAATCTTTTTAACTTTTTCAAACAAATTAAATAAATGACCAAAAATATAATTAAACCTAAACAAATTACCCAAAAAAAATAGGAACAAGCTCTTCATGGATTCAGCATATATGAACGAACTGAAACCCAAGTAGAAGCTAGCCCATTTGGCAAAAGGAGTCCTAGCCCAGTTGAAGAGAATGTCTGAGGTCCAGAACCTAATGTAGAAAAGTAATGTGAAGTATGAAGAAGGTTCGTAGAAGGTGGCAGAGTTACAAGACAACAAAATGTTAATTTCTCTTGGACCAGTAGGCTGTGTTGAATAGAAGTAGGTTCACGATTGGCAAAGATGTTTCTTAACCATGTTCATCAGACAATGCCTTTATTTACTTTTAAACAAATACTATGTCATATTTTATATTTTATTGGTCCACTAAATAGACGGCGGCCAACATCTATGATCATTATGTATGGAGAAACAAAACTTGGTGCTCAAGTTTCGACCCAGATCGCAATTTTCAAACTCCAAAACATGGACACAATCTTTTGCATATCATCCATAAGCTGACAAAAACAAAGGGTCCCAATCTTTTTGATCACTCATTATTTTAAGTCAACAGTTAGTCAGTAAATTCATATCTATTACCTCTATAGTGTTCACACTCACTTTACATCAATAAACTATTTATTTTTTATACACGTCAACTATCTTCCACAACATAATCTCACTGCTTTTTAATACTTAATGCAATTGGGTCTACAATATAAAAATTTATTCTGTTTGAATGATATTCTGCTACATTTAATTACTAATTTTTGATGGGAAAAGGAGGAGATAAAAGTGAAAGGTGAGAGGAGTGGATTATGGATCCAAGCTGGCCAAGTTGAAAGAAAAGGAAAAGGACAACAAGTTGATTGAAGACATGGGAAGAAAAAGGTTTGAATTGAATCCGAAGGGCCAAAAGATGAAAATGATTCCTGACAAAAACCAACGAATTGTGTGGAATGGTCTTCATCAATCTACTACGAGGTAACATCCTGGTAGCTTCCACCCTCGGACGACGTCCTTATCCACCACCCTCACCAACCACGTCACATTCATTTTTACTGTTTCTCAATCCATTTTCCATCACAATCTTCTACCTAAATAAAAACCATATTACATGCAACCATTTTTTTTACCTTATTTCATTTTATACTGTATAACGATACGGAGAGTGATTGATCGGTCTGAACTGGTTGTGGTTAATGTTGTCCGACACAATTGATTAAATATTAGTTGATCTCACGACGATAAAATTGGGAGGCAAAAAAACTGGACGATATTTAACAATAACAATCTCTAAACATAGCAGGTAAGAATTATTTAGTCAAAAATTAGTTGTGATTAGATCATAATTAAAATTGTACTAATCAGAAACCTAGAAACCTATAAATAGAAATCAAAATTAAAAACATCAATAATTGTATTTATTGCGAGATTAAAATTTTACTGTGATTTCCAATCAAATTAATCATTAATTTAAATATCAGAGTGTATTTGACAAGTATTCCATATGTTCTAGAACTTTAACAAAGAAAAATTAAAATTAAAAATATTGAGATGAACTAAATTAATTTTCAAAAGTGTAAAGAAATGTTTGTAAAGATCATTCACCCTATACCGAAAACACATTTATTAATTAGTGTTACAACATCCTCAAATTTCCCCGACAATAATTTTTTTATCATTTGATGTTTTGTTGTGTGTTTTTTTTTACTGAAAAATTCTGGAGAAGATACGCACGCCTAAAATCTGTGTCCACATTGCTGTCTTGATTGTGTGCTGTGCCATGGAAAAATATGTCACTAACTCTTCATCAAATGTGTGGCACGCACCTTATAGTCAAAGCATTACTGAAGAGTTGTACCAATATCCAATTTCAGTAAATAGTGTTCTGGAAAAGAATATTCTTCGAGATTTGCAACTATTGTTAGTTTATCAGAGTGTGTTTATTAAGAAAATGGTTTTTCATTTTTATTTCAGAAAATTTTGAGAACGTTCAAAAGTGATGCACGTGGCGCGGAACAGTTGGGCGGAGGAATAAAAGTTGGGTCCACATGGTGTCGACCAGATAGAGAGTGAGCAGTCAACGATTTGACCAAAACGGGCTGGGGCGGTGACGGAAGCAGTGACAAAATTAGGCGAAGGTGGCTCCCTCAAACGCATACTCCACTCAGGATGTGCCACGTATCGGCTGCGGTTACATTTATGGGTTGGAGCCGAGACCAGGTTCGAAGTTTGAAGGACTTGTCTACCCTACGTACCGCCTCCCTCCACGCACGTGTGAAAATAAAGCCTTTCTCGCGTCCTATAAAGCTTAACCTCACCTTTCTTTTCTCAAGTTTCAAGTCACACACAAAAACTACAGCCAGGGATAGTAAGAACAGAGACACAAACTAGAGAAGAGAGTAACCGCGAATGCAAGGAGAATTGGAATTACCACCCGGGTTTAGATTCCACCCCACCGACGATGAACTCGTGAATCACTACTTGTGTAGAAAGTGTGCTGCTCAGTCCATTGCCGCTCCCATCATCAAAGAAATCGATTTGTATAAGTTTGATCCATGGCAGCTTCCAGGTACCACCCTTTTTCTTAACCATCATTCAACTAACAAACAACTTCCACTCGTCATGGAATAACCCTTCTTCTTTTCTCTGTGCAGACATGGCTCTTTACGGTGAGAAAGAGTGGTACTTTTTCTCCCCTCGTGACCGAAAATACCCAAACGGTTCACGACCGAACCGGGCTGCTGGAACCGGGTACTGGAAGGCCACCGGAGCGGATAAACCTATTGGAAAACCGGAAGCCCGTGGAATTAAGAAAGCCCTTGTGTTCTACGCGGGGAAAGCTCCGAAAGGGGTTAAGACAAATTGGATCATGCACGAATATCGCTTAGCCAACGTCGATAGATCTGCCTCCAAGAAAAACAACAATTTGAGGGTATGTCCTGATAACAACTACCTTCTTTTTTGTTTAATTTTGCTTGATTACAATAATACGTGATTCGGTGAACTTTTGTAACGATTGTGTCTGTCTGTTGGAATTGCAGCTTGATGATTGGGTGTTATGTCGAATTTACAACAAGAAAGGGAAGATTGAGAAGTACAATAATGTCGACGAGGTTGTGGAACAGAAACCGGCGAAATTACCGGAGGAGATTCTGTTCCAGCACGAGATGAAGCCTGAGATCCAGATGTACGGCCACGATCATTTCAGGAATAACCAATTGTACATGGACACGTCGGATTCCGTGCCGAGGTTAAACACGGACTCTAGCTGCTCCGAGCACGTGGTTTCGCCGGACGGCACCTGCGAGAAGGAGGTGCAGAGCGAGCCCAAGTGGAACGACCTGGAGTTGGGCCCGGACCTGGTTTCGGGCTACGATTTTAATTTCATGGAGCTGTCAGCAGATGACGCTTTTGCCCATCAGGCCCAGTTCCAAATGAACCAGCCCTCGACGTGGCAAGATATGTTCGCGTACCTTCCGAAGATATTTTAATTTTTTAGGGTGGACCCAAATCAGGAAACAAGCGTCTCACATTTATTTATAAAATTCGTTCAAAGCGGAAAGAAAAAAAAAACCATTAAATCGTGCGGCACTAACCACCACACGTGCTGTTGAGTTTAACTGGTATTGGTTCCTAAGGAAAAATGAGAGATCAGGTATACTGTAACTAAATAATACCAAGAAAATTTATCTCCACTGGGTGAAGAATGAAGATCCGTTAGTTATGTTAGGAATTGTGTTAGAAAATTGTAGCTCCAATGCTATTGCATTTGGATTCTTTTAATATTATATTATATTTTTTTAATTTTTCAGACTAAGCAGCAATTGAAAATTGAAATGTAGGGTTTCATCTCATCTTCCATACTGCATCAACTTTCATTGTGTTTTACTTTTAAATGCTAACTCATGTAATACGATAACTAATTACTTCGGGAATCAGATTGTTACACCAATACAATACAACAATAAACGATGGACCTCCTTAACATGTTCCAATATAACCGACATCCTAGATTATAGAACACCAACCCTATATGCATGATTAAACTCTTTTTTTCTTTTTTTTAATGATCAAATACTGACACCTCTGGATTTTGGAACACGGCTGCAATCTGCAGGTCCCCAACCAATTAACTTCTTCTCATTTTCGAATACCATAACTTTGTCTTGCATGGATATGTCTGCATAAACAATAAAGAGAAGAATTGTAATGCTACGCTATATAATATCCATTACCCAAATGAGGAACCAGAAGAAAAGAGATGGTAACAGTAGAACAAAGATTCCTACCTCCAATTAGGTTCAGTTCCTCCAAACCTATTTCAGAACCATCTAGAATGCCCAGACAAACATTTCCCAGGGTCTGGAGAAACATATGACACATGAAATACATCCATTACTTGGGATAGCAGCAAAAAAGTAGAGAAAAATAGAAATATTTGATAGGTTAGAGTGTAGAACTCACTGATATTATGAGATAAGCTTCTGGAGCGATCTCAAATTGAGCTTTAACTCTTCCACCACTGTTGAAACTAAGTGCCACGGGCTTGAAGTATTTCCGGACTTCACGTATGCTTCTGAAAGGTCTTCTACCGTGCCAGCAGATAGGTAAAGTCTGATCATCAGGTGCTGCTTTCAAGGGCTTTCCAGTTAAGTCCTTCTTCAGCTACATTTGGAAAATTTAACAAATCGCCATGTTAAGTAACCTGGCATTATTTTCTCGCACAAGATTATAAATACTGTCAACCTAAATGTTTACGAACATAGAATGAACTGAGTTTATTATTTTTCCAACAAAACTTGCATGATCATATAGAAGAAATGTTTCATCGTGCCTATTGAAACACTTCAAATTGGGGAATACAGTGAAAATCATTTAACTGACCCAAGAAAGTAATGCTTGGTAAGCATGAGAGTTGAAGTAACTATAAGAACTCCCGGTGTCAAAAACAGCAGTCAGACTTCCAACACCAGTTTTCCTCCCTCCGAAAACGAGTTCAGCTGGCCCTGCAGAGTAATGTTTGCTGAGGCAAAGCACAAAAGATTTGAATCAGTACATAGAACCATGAATCATTCATTAAGAACATGAATGTAAAACGAGGATGTGACTTCTTAAGGTGTACTCACGAATCTACTGATGAAATTGGAGTCCATGTGATTCGAGCAGAGTCATATGCATTTCCAAAGAAGATATACCCTCCTCCTTGCGAACTTAAACAGTGACCAATCACATTTCGCACCAAGCCCTGGCTGTTCAGCTGGGATATCAAGCTGGTCTTTCCCCTTCCAAGGCCAAGTATTCCATCTAAGGGATGGTAAGAAGAAGGTGAGAACACTTGATCATATCCACACCTGTAGAAAGGAATAAAAACAGAGGTGCATTAGCTTACTAAGAATGTCTCAACAAAAATGCTTGACACATTGCAATGTAAAGATGCCATGATCAACAACATTCTGAACACCATTGGAGTGATTTTCTGAAACCTTTCTGGCCAGTGGCAATACTAAAGTCATAAGAATATAGGATTGCTGAACTCATAAGAAACTTGTTGGAAAATGAAAAGAAAAAAGCTTTAGTCATCCCAGAATGAAAAATGTATCATGAAAAACATAACTTCTCTGTCATTAATTATTTGTAATCTCTTAATTGTTAGTAAATAGTGTTTTACATAGCATAACATGCATGTCTGGTTCAGCTTTTAGGAAACTGCACATCCTGTAACACAGCCTACAATTCCTAAGCATTTGCATCAAATCCTTTTATTTCACACGATTTAGGAAAAAATGGTACGTGCTTATGTGATTTGCACAAAGAATGATATCATCTAACATCATGGAGTTTAGTAAAGTTGCCACAAGGGTCCACTCTAAAGTTCTGATTTTTCAACACCCATGTTCAACCTATCTACATAAGTTGTGAAACGGTTTCAAAAAATTTTATGTCCATATCATTCTCATCTGTATTGGTACAATCATTTTGCTGAATGTTTTATCTGAAGGCCTTTTCTAAAAGCAAGCATGCAGAAGAAAACAATCATAGACAAAGGAGGTGAAACAAAGGTTGCGTAATAAACTAACCCCAGTGCCATCCGAACTTTAAGTTGGACTCCATTGGTAAAGTTAAGAAGGTAGACATCATTGAGAAGCACACCAAAGGTTGAGTACTGATCTGCATAATTAATTTCATAGTCACATTGATCAGGGTTTTCACAGATGTACTCTTCAGAGGGCTGCAATGATGCACAAAGAGGATCCTTGCAAGGAACAAAGTCATTGCTAGGCCTGTAGAGTGGATGGGGTGTCTGTAAAAATAAGCAACAAATTCAGTTCAACCAATGCAATAAGCAAGAATGAGCTTTTCAATCTCAAAACATTTTGCTGTCACATTCTAAAAAATTAATTGATGGGGGGTTTTCTTTTCATCTTGGTAGTGAAGTGATAACAATACCTCAGAGCAATGGGTGCAAGGGGCATCACACTGGAGCCATGTGAGGTCACTACCTGTGTCCACATCAAGAAAATAAGGCCTTGGTGGCTGACCGATATTGAGAGTAACATTATAGAACCTGTAAACATTGAAATCAACAATAAAAAAATGACTTATATCAGAATATCAATATCCTAAAGATGTTTCACTTTAATTAGAAAAAGCAAGCTATAGATGTCCACAGAATAACTAAAGTTGTTCTGCTATACTCTTTTGGAAAAGTTCTGAAGCAGAAAGTGAACCCCATAACATGAAACAACACAGAGAACGGAGAAAGAAGACTTGTAAATAAGTTATGTACCTACCCAACAGGATAAACGTTGCCATGAAGAGGGATCACAACAGAAGAGCCAGCAGGATTCAACAGTCTTGGACATGATGATGACGTGGCTTGACTTGGGAGAATTGAGTTCCTTCCACTTTTGTGTCTGTTACCAAACCAAGCCGAACAGTACGACATATTGAACAACACCATCATTGCAAGCACCATCTCTACTTTCCCCATCTTCATCCTCTTCTCTCTCTAGATCCAACCAAAAACTTATTTCTTTTATTATTTTGTTTGTTTGTTTTTAAATCTATGGATGAAAGAAAGTGAAGAGTGGTGGTGGGGTTAAGTTTAAATCAGAATTCTTGATTCTTGTAGAAAGAATTGGTTTTGCCCATGTCCATGAAGGATGGGATTCGTGGGTATTGCTTTTGCTTCAATTGTTGGTGTTAGTTTGTGGGAATATAGGTGACAACCTAGGATTGGGTTTGGGTTTGTGTTGAGGAAGGAGGAAAGAACAGAACAACCTTGGCATTGGAATTGGAAGTAGGATTGCTTCTCATGCTGTAGCTTCTAGTTCCTTTCTTCCTCATGAAGCATCAACACTGAACTTTGTTGTCCAGAAAAATTATCACAACCCTTTTGAGTAAATGAAGAAAAAATTGGAACTGGAACTGGAAACACTGTTGTGTGTTCGTTCAGGATTTGAAACTCTTTGATAACTTCTGGGAAACTTCTTTCTTGTCTCCTTCCAACACTGCAGCCAAAAACTTTATATATTTTATCTTAACCCGTTGAGTACAACATTTACATTTTTTTATTCACTTCTTTAACTTTTATAATGAAACACAACTCAAACTTTTAATTTCTACATTTAAAAATAATATATTTTAGTTTTTAATATACCATTTGTACGTGTCCTTTAAAAATTTTTTACTACCTTTTCATGTGAAACCAATAAACACATGTAATATGTAATAATCTTTATTTTATTTTATCATTACGATTTGTACTTCTACTCACTATTTTACTTGTGAAATTTGACTCTAGTTCTTATGAGCTGAAAAAAAAAAACCACATAACCAAAACAATTTTTTTATAGAACCAAATATTTATAAAATCATGTGTTATGATGAATATGGATCTTCTTTTAACATATTAATTATTTTATTCTTAATAATATTTAAAAAGTTAATGTATTAATGTAGGTGAGTTGTAACTTAATCGTATCCATTATGGATTCTTAAATTAAATTATATAATTACATTAACATTTATTTGTATATATAAAATTATGTTATGCATTCTTAAATTAAATTATATAATTATTTTAACATTTATTTTTATATATAAAATTATGTGTATTTTTATTCAATTTTGATATATGAAAATGTTTATTATATTAACATGGTTTTAAATAAAAAAATTATTTGATTTTTTTAATAGATAATATTTTGAGAAAAATCCATTTTTTTAAACTAAAACATGTTTATTATGTTTTAAATGTAAAAACTAAAAATAAGTTAAAAACTTATTTATATATAATATTTCTTAAATAGTTTATCAAAATAAATTTATAAAAACTTTCATAATTAAAAGAAAATATACTTTTACAATTATTCAAATATAATAATTTTTGGACTTATAAAAAATTATTTATTTTTAACACCTTTTTTTTCTTTTGAAATTACCTTGTTTAACAAATTCAACCTATATTATATTCTTAACTTTTCAAAATAATAAAATTATGTATCTAAAGTTTGCAATTAAAAAATTATTTTAAATAACTTTTTATAAAACCAATATTTATATATTTTTTAGAAATAATAGATTATAAACCAATATAAATTAACTTTCATTTCTCAATAATATATGGAGATAATAATCATTATATCAATGTCTATAAAACTATCTTCTTTTATTATAGAGTTAAATAGGTCTATATTTCTTGATGATTTTGGTTTCGTCTTTCGAAACTTTGATTTATTTCGTCTTAATTTAAAAAGAGACAAAATTGTTTCATTTTAAAATAAACTGAAAATGAACTGAAAAAAATAAATATAGAAATTAAATTAAATATAAAATACTAACACATTTAATGTTGTTTTCATGTGGCACATGTTAACTTAACATGTAGATAATTTTTTTTTCTAAAATTAAAAAAGAATTACGATTGATATTTAAAATATTTGTTCATATTATTAAGTATTTAAACGACGATGGTAAAAAAAATTAAATTAACTAAAACTGAAAATTAACCATAGAAAGTAGACCACCAAATTAACTCAATAAATATAAGAACTAAATTAATATTTAAGTAAAAATAAAATAAAAAAACCACAAACTAACAAGTCTCGTGTCTTTAAAATGTTTGTAAGATATTAATAAAAATGACTTAATTAAATCATTTAAAAAGTTAGTTATTTAATTGAAAAAAAAAACAAAAGTAAATCAACTTTTTACCTAAAATGAGAACAAAGAGAATAATTAAATCTAAAATTAAATAACATAATAAAATAGATTTTAAAATATTAGGAAAAGAGTTTTTAGGGACGTTAAACCAATTTTATAATAACAATTTGGTAATCAATAATATTTAAGTAAAGTAGAAAATATATAGTATTTTGTTGAATGGGTGATCAAGTGGAATGGAAGGGAAGGGAACTATGCACTCTTTTGAGTAAATTGGTAGTGGTTTAGGTCAATTTAGGGAAAGTGAGGTGGTGATTTGGGAAGTAGGGGTTCTGGACACATTTGGATTGCTGGGACATCTTAGACAAGTCATCTGTGACTTGTTAGGATCATAAAGCTGGCCTAAAACCTGTTAGAAATGGTAAAATCGAAATTGGGTCCTTATGTTGTAGAAATTGATGTTTTAAAAGATAAAACTTAACCTTAATCACTTTATATTAGTAATAGGGAGAGTTAGGATCATCTAGGCAAGTTTAATTAAGCTTAATACATGAAGTGGGGTGTTAGAAGTTGATAAAAGGGCCTAGAATTGGTTAAGGGTGTGTGAGTTGCATAATTATGCGGAACTTGCGTTCTGCAGATTATGCAGTCTCGCTATGCAAATTGTCTCGCATAGCGAGACCCTGTAAGAGGGTGCTCACTGTCTGGGTCATTCGCTGTGCGAGCTTGTGCGTTGTGCGAATGACCAGAGGGTGCTACTCTTTATTTGTGGATTCGGCGAATCCTGTCGCTATGCGACTAGTGGTGGTCTGGAACCACTGCCCTTTTAATTTGAAGAGCGAGAGGGGCGCAAAGCGAAGAGGTTTGGGGGTGTGCTCTCTGTTTAAGCTCTCGCATAGCGACCTGGGTGCGCTATGCGAGAAGACCTGAGGCCTGTAGCCTCAGCGAGTTAATTCGCATAGCGAATGAAAGGGGTGCGCTATGCGAGAGACATGAGGTCTGGCACCTCAGCGAGTTAATTCGCCTTGTGAGTGAGGGTGCGTTGTGCGAGAAGATCCTGTCTTGCCTTGCGAATGGTGTGTGCTGAGCGAATCCTTTGAGTCCAGATTCCTTTTTTACTCTTGCTTTGGTTGAATTAAGTGTGTGGAATGATTGGAATGCATAGTATGATGGTGGTAATGTGATTATATTGAAAGTATGTGAGTGTATGAGACATGTTTGGTGATTGAAAGTATGTGGTTTTAAAAGTATGGTTGATGGACGTAATTCCATGGATCTCAAAGGAGGTTACATGGTGGTGTCTTATGTTATTGGACGTAATTCCATGTATCTCAAAGGGAGGTTACATGGTGGTGCCCTATTTTATTTGACGTAATTTCATGATCTTTAAGGAGAAGATTCATGGTGGTGCCTTTATTGTTTAGAATGATTTGCATGGTAGCTCAGTCTTGGGGGTTTTCCTGACGCTCCAATGGTCTTTCATTCTCAAGTAGAGAGGATTGATCCATGTGGTGAGGAGTAGCAAGAGGTCCTAGTCTTGGGTGCTTCCAGTATGGCCCAAGGTGAGTGATAACGGACTAATCTTGTGAGTGTGGTAGGATGAAATTCATTGGCAATGGCTTTGCAAAGCAGTAAAGGCCACCACGAGTGCATGACCCGCCATAGCTCGGAAATCATTCTAAGTCCGGACGAGTCAAGTTCAAGTGCAACAAGTTATGTTGGTGTAGTCTAGTATATCTATCTTTAATTGCATATTGTGTGTGATTGTTATAACATTATTTTTGTATACCTAGCTCACCCTTGCTTTTGTTTTGTGTTTTGCTTGTGTGTGCTTTTCTTTTGCAACGATCATCCACTTGGATGTGAGCAGAGGTGGATGAGGTGTCTCTGCAGTAGACTTTGGAGGGAGATGATGTTGCAGTTTAGTCTAGTTAGGACTCTTAATTGTTCCTTATCATTTTGAAATACTCTATCGTGTTTAAGTTTTAAATTATGACTTCTTTTGAAATAACTATAACCTTAATACTTTATTTATCGTCTTATTTTAACTGTTCTCTTATATTAAAAATGTAAACTGCTATATTACATATTTATATATAATCTGAAACGTTACAATAATCATTGCCGGTATCTTCTAAGAATTTTTTGTTCATTTTTGAAGTGCTTTTGTCGATGATTTTCGTAAGAATTATATTCAGAAAGGATTAAAAATGTCCACTATTTTAAAAATATTAAGTTTATCTTTAAATTCATAAAGGATTAAAGAACTTATAAAAAATGATTGTATATAAAAACAATGAATTGTAAAAATTATTTTACTTTTTTATTATCTTAAAGGGTTATAAAATCAATAAAATACATTGTCCACGTGCTTCTGAGTTCAACGACTATGCGTTCATGAAAATTGCAACATTTACATGATAAATAAGTTAAGTATAGTAACAATGAATAATTAATTTATTCTTGAATGATAGAAGATATATTTGCTTACCTAATTTCAACCTCTTTCTATTTCAACTCAAACAATAATTACTATACATTGCAAACAAATTGATTAATTATAACATATCAATTAAACTGCATTTGCGCATAATATATAATATTTTTATCATGACACCAAGATATTTGACAACAAAAAGTACCAGAGAAAGGAAACACACACGAAAGTATCCAACCTTTTCTTGAAGTTTTCAACTTACTTTTAACAGTAATACCTGATATGATCACTGACACTCCAATTTTGGTGACAGAAAAACAAAAAACAAAAGTTGCATTCATGTTATGCTGTGTTGCCACACCCTTTTCTATCAAAGCAGGCATATTATGTTTGATATCTCAATCAATAATTTAATGGCAATCAAAGAACAAATTCATGAGATTGAAAACTTGTGGGGAAAAATTGTAATTTAATTTTGCCACTTTTACCAAATTGGAAGCCACAAGTTACTGCTCCCAAACACATTATTTTAGGACTTCCTAATTCATGAACATTTTAAAAGGAACCCTATCATTCCTTCTCCTTAAGACCATCCAAAAAGAGCAAGAATTATTTGAACAATATTGCCACTGATAACGGCCTTCAATAATTTTTCCTTCTCAGGTGTGTATGGGGGGTACCTTATGGATGAATCTGCATCAAAACTTCTATAGAGAACTGACTTCCTATGACTGAAACTATCAAAAGAGAATTTTCCATGGTAACAACCCATTCCACTCTCTTCAACTCCTCCAAAAGGCAAACCACGAGTTGCAACCTGCAACCATACACAAGTGTCTACATATTAACACATTTTAGAACATTTGTCTATTATGAGAGTGATTTTTTTTTCTTTTGAGTTTTATCTTGAAATTCTTGGAATATAAGAGGTGATTCTCTGATGCATTTATATTGGGTTAGTCTCAAGTAGCATGTTCTCCATTTCTATTTCTTTTCCATCTTTTCTACTTCTTTAGACTACAATTTTATTTTACTTGTTCTAATGCTTTTATACTCTCACCATTAACTCTTTATAATTAGTGCATGTGATTCTTATGTTTTTATTATTTTGTTGTTTCATTTTGTCTTCTTGTGTTATTTGAATCTATGAATCAATGCTTGACATAAGCCACTTCATGTTTTAAGACAAAAATGAGATTCAACTCTGACCTAGCAAAAATATTGAAACTTAGTATAGCTTCTTATGAATGTTCATCCTCTATCATAAATATAACTGTATAGCTAAAACTTAATAGTTCGTACTCCAAAAAAAACACTTCAACTTTGACATTTATTTTTAAGATTTATATTCCTCTGAAGATATTAAAGGATTATTTGTTCCAGAATGATAAAATCAATGGCTTTCCTCACTCATTGATTCAAGCAACTTATATCAGCCAACCATCAGAAATTCTCTCAAACTAAGTTCAATAACTTTATGTATGCCAATGAAAGATGTCAAATAAAGAGACGGAACTTTTCTTTTTGCTTCTGTATATAAAATTATGAAAAGAAATATTATGCTAGCAAATGACAATTTTTCATGTGTGAATTTTAGGAAGAGGATAACTACATGGATGACAGCGTCATTGATGAGTATCCCTCCTGACGATATCTTATCCACATAATCCTTCTTCAGCTGCTCATTGTTTGTGAAGAGATATGCAGCAAGAGGTTTTGGCCTTGATTTGATTATACTGTAGCAATCTTCTATGTTGTCTACCTGCAAAAATATAATTATAATAATTCTATGCTAAGTACAAAGAAACATTTTAAAAGAGTTGGAATCAAACAATGGTCACTATCAACTAGAAAAGGAAAACAAAAAAATGTCATAAATGAGATGGAACATGTTTTCACTGCATCAAGAATAATTACCAAGAACCATGAACCATGATCCTTGTCAACATGTCTAAAACTGTACTTTTTCATAGTGAACTATTACTCACTGTGATGATTGGCAATATTGGCCCAAATATCTCCTCCTGCATTACCAAAGCATCTTCAGGAACACCTAATATGATAGTTGGGGAAATTTTTCTGCAATATAAAGGAAGAAACTGATGTTATGATATCTTATAAGTAATATTCCAATCATAAAATTAAAAAAGGAATGCAACTCACAATTTCTTCTCATCCCTCTGACCTCCTAAAACAATTTTGTCAGATACCTTATCCTCATCCAAGAGTTTCACAAGCCGCGCAAACTGGTTAGAAGACACAATCCGTGACATGTCTTTTGATTCCAATGGATCTTTACCAAAAAATTGTTCCAATTCTTCTTTTAAGGCACTTATCTGTTGAGTGAGAATTCATCAAGAGTAATATATTTTAATAGTGCACAGCATTTTGTATTTTTGAGGCAACCTTACCAGCTTTGGAGCAAACTCTTTTCTTGTGATGACATAATCAACAGCAATGCATGCTTGCCCACTGTTGCATGCCCACTTGCCAGCTATTATCCTCCTAGCAGTAACCTGAAAATTCAATGATTGCTATAAATGAAAATATGTTACTCGATGGGTAAATCAGGAGATCCTTCAAAGATGTTACTTGTAAGTTGACATCTGATTCAACAACAGCAGGGCACTTTCCTCCAAGTTCTAGAATCACTGGTGTAAGATGCTTTGCAGCCGCAGCCAGGACAATCCGACCCACTCTAGCACTACCTGCAAAAAACGGGTTGATTATGCATGGAACCTTATAAATGAGCTACATACATTTGACTTGTTAATTATAGAACGAAAATTTCAACTGTGTTAACTCAAATTTCTGGACACAACTTATAATAAGTGTTAATAGGATCAGACATTTATATGAAACAGCTTTAATCAGATTCAAATTTCAGGCATCTTAAAATGAATCTATTTGCTGTAGGATATGGATAAATACCAGAAGACAAGTTACCTGTATAAAGTATCTTATCCCATTTCTGCTCCAGGAGTGCAGTTGTTTCAGGAACAGCTCCTTCAACAACTCTGATGGCAGAGTTGTCTAAATATTGTTCGACCAAATTTGCAAGAAGTGATGATGTTGCTGGAGCAATTTCTGATGGTTTAAGGACCACTGCATTACCCGCAGAAATGGCTCCAATAACCGGATCCATTGATAACACTGAATATAGGAAGTAAAAACAAATTAATGGAAAAAAAAGGACATACAAAAGAAGCTAAGTCAACAAATTAGAGTAAGCATCATCCTCCAAAAAAAAGTATATGAATACATTGATGAATACCGGAAGACTGTGGTGATATTGAGAAGAATGAACAAGTATCACAGACTGGGCTCTAATTTATTGAAAATTTAAGCAAGTGGCCAGAAACGTTGGCCAAATTCACATACAAAGAACAGAGAGAATTTTAGAGCTTGATATAACTGGTGAAATTTGAATTTTGACAGAAAGAAAAGTGTGCGAAAGTTTTGTATTTACAGTAACACATCCCAAAGAAGTCCTCCATGATGACGAAAACGATTGAGACGAAGAAAATTTGTTCTTCACTATAACCAAACATTGTATAGATATGTGAATAGAATGAAAAGGGAACATTTACATACAGAAAGGAAAGTTCCATGTTGAGATAACCAACACAACCCCCAGCGGTTCTGGCACAATCTCTGCTGATGATGGAAATGTCGTGATTGAAGTACTCACCTAAAAAGTAAAAGAAATTTGGTTGTTAATTAAGAAAACTATGTTGGAACTTATTGCTCGTCTTGCAATTTACCCTCTCAGGCTTCATCCATTGTTTCAGCTCCTTAAGTGCTTCACTGCATGAGGATTTTGCCTGGGAAACCTGCAGAAACACTTACATCAAATCTGATGTGACCATGACGATAGTGAGGCTGACAAGACTACCGGACAAATGGAAACAGTAAATGGCATCATGACAAAAGGGAATCGAGAAAAAGCAAATGTAAAGAATGTCATAAACTAATGCATAACAGAAGCAGGAAATTGAAGACCTCAGATATAAATGCTTCAAGTTGAGGTTTAGCAAGATCCTTATATAGAGCTTCAGTAATTTCCTTTTCTTTCTCTTTTAACATCTTAATAATGGCCTCCAACTGGGAAACCCTCCATTCATAACTCTTTGTCCTGCCTGAATCAAAGCACTTTCTGAGATCTCTAACAAGCAAATTAGCCTTCTCTCCATCAAATATCTGCTTCTCTTCTAATTCTGGCAATACTGATAGAGTTGCAGAACATCTTCACAAGATAAACCATATATATACATGCAACCAAACCACATAAAAAGAACATCATAATTGAGCAAATACAATTAGAACACCTCATGACCAAAAAAGGTGGAGGGCAAGAGAGGGCTTACAAGATTGAAGAGAAAACAAAAGAACGGGAGTGGAAATGAACTTGCTTGGGGAAGCACTTTCTGGTTATATGGCCTCCAAAGGCTCTTGAACTAACTGGGTCACTGTTAATTATAAGAACTAGGATAAGAAGCCCACCAATTACGATGAAAATTGCAGTTTTTTTTCCAACTTAAATTCAGCAATTCTATGATTATTTTGGGTGATTATACTTCCCATCAAGTTGCATTGACCATCTTGTTTTCATATCACAAAATAAATAAAAATCACATGAACAATCACCGCCTTAATGAATACAAAAGGTGGAAGAAAATAAAACACGCACCTAACAGCAAGGAACGGCCCAAGGCAGAGGCTTTTCATGGTAGGACAAGAAGCAGATAAATCTTTGGTAGTGATGTCCAAAACTAAAATTTCAAAATCTGCATTAACTTGCATTTACATGTATATAAGCATAACCAGAGTGAGTTCTCAGCCATGGAAAAGTTCGAAGATAATGTGGCACACAATTAATGACTAGGTACTGATCATGTCTAACTTGACAAAGACATGGCCAAAATCCAAAATTGAAAGAAACGTTTTAGTTTGGCAGTGAGAAAAATTAAAAAAAAAAAAAAACAATCTTGCGTAGAGAAGTAATGTTTGGTAATGGAATGGGTTGGATTTTATGTGGTACAGAACCCACATGGATCTCTTGAATCCTAACCGTTCCATGCAGCATGCATCATTCATCATTCATCATGCATCTGTCACTGAATCAAAGCCAGTAAAATGAGTAAAGATGGATCAAGGGTGACACATACCTTCATACAAATTCAAATGTGTTTACTGTGCTAGTTGAAGACGAAAGGTCAGAATCACGACACATGACACTGCCTTTGTACATGTGCACCTTTTTCACGCAATGGACCCGTATCTGCCCACACCGCACCATTAAAATGGGGCCACACTATAATTTTGATGTTTTTTAATCATTAATTAGGCATTAATCTTTATATTTAAGATAAATTAATTTTTATCCCTAAAAAAACCATTACTTTATCCCTCGCATTTCAAAAACACATTTTTAGCTTTGTGATTATGTCATACCATTAATATTTAGGATTTAGCTATTTCAAGAAATTTATGATAAAATTAAATATATATTTAATCGTGTTATTGCTAATTACTATAACTATTAACTCAGGTATCAGTCTATTTTTTTTTAATTACGTTTTTTCTTTGACTTTGTTTGATAGTATCTTCAGTACTTTATATCAAAGACAAAGATACGTTTCTTGTGAATTTTATTTGGTTTTAGAAAAATAAAAATAAAATAAAAAATCCAAGAAATTATTCTCTTTTCAATTTGATGACCAAAGTGGTTTGAGTGATTCTTCTTGCACCTCACGCACTTCGTCCTGCACCTCCAAAATATAATTTAATTCCAAATATAGCCTTTGCACAGTCAAAATTGATTTTTAAAAGGGTTAAATATGTTTTTAGTCCCTAAACTATTGACCGTTTCTGGTTTTCGTCCCTCTTCCAAAGTAAGGTACAATTTAATCCTCAATCTTTAAAAAAACGTTCGTTTTAGTCGAAAAAACGAACGTTTTGAGGACTAAAACGAGGACTAAAAACAAAATTTTGAGGACTAAAACAAACGTTTTTCTAAAGAATGAGGACCAAATTGTACCTTACTTTGGAAGAGGGACGAAAACCAGAAACGGCCAATAGTTTAGGGACTAAAAACATATTTAACCCTTTTTAAAAAGTTTGACTAAAACTTTAACTCTTCCCTGTCGCATT